AAGAAGCAAGAAAACGACTTTTTTTAAGTAGCGGGAAATTAAGGACACAGGGATAGAGTGATGAGGGCGCCATTTTAGGTAAGGGTGTTGGAGAAGGCCTCTCTGTCGAGGTGACTATTTGAGTACGGCCCTGAACAAAGTCATGTGAAGAAAAAAGAGAGTATTCTAGGGAGTGTGTGCATAGCATGTTCACAAAACAGCAGTGAAGTCAGGGGACCCAGAGCAGAGTGACCACAGGAAGAGGGCAGGAGGTGAGATCCCAGCCGGAACAGGATCAAATCATGCAGGGGCTTGGAGAGGACCACAGTGTGGTCAAAGACAAAGTTTTGCCTCTTTGTGGTGGGCGCAAGGAATGAAAGAAAGCTGTATGAGTCATGAACAACCTCAGAGGTAAGTCTACCGCCCACGTGTATTGCGAAGCATTCAACTGAATAATCATAGTTATGAAAGTACTTATTCTTTGGGAATCCCCCATCGCTCTCTTTCTCTCTCTCTCTCTGTCTCTCTCTCTCTCTCTCTCTCTCTCTCTCTCTCTCACACACACACACACACACACACACTGCATTGCCTCTAGTAAGCCAATTTAATATAGGTTGGAAAAAAAGATTTCTCAACAGTGCAAAAACATCTTTTGAAAAGGCAATTCTGTTCCAGCCTAGTCAAACCACTAAGGCATGATTTAAACAACAACAACAACAACAACAACAACAACAACGCCATGGGGGCACTACAGGGGTGGCTCATTCAGTTAGGCAACCGACCCTTGATTCGGGCTCAGGTCATGATCTCAGTTTGAGTCCCACACCGGGCTATGCACTGACAGTGAGGAGCCTGCTTGGGATTCTCTCTCTCTCCCTCTCTCTCTGCGCCTCCCATGCTCTCCCTCTCTCTCCCTCTCTCTCTCTCTCTCCCTCTCTCTCTCTCTCAAAAATAAATAAAAAATAAACCTTAAAAATAAAAACAAGGCTAAGGCATATCCTCCCATTCATGCAGGGCTCTACTTGACATCCCAGATCAATGGGTCCCTCCTGACTACTGTTTCCGTGAGATTAACTTCCAATTCAAACCTCCGATTCCTCCCGTTACTAAACAAGCAGCAGTGTATTGGGGGGCCGCACGGCACTCCATGATTCTGGGGCGCTAAGCACGAAAGACCAGCAAGGGATTTCCGTACAAGAAGTGCTTAAATGCTCAGGGCCAGCGCAGTCCTGGGATGAGAAAGTCCGCAGGCATTTCGCACAGAAGAATGAGGCCAGGCATGGAGCACCCTGTTAGCAAATCCCCACCCCCCCCCCCCCCCCCCCCCCCCCCCACCCCCCCGAACACGGCTGTCCCCGCAACACTTTCTGGTGTCAAAGCGACAAGGACAGCAAGATACAAAAGAGACAGCTTGGCTCAGGACAAGGAGAGAAGGCAGGGTGGGAGTGGGGAGAAGAGCACGGAACAGAGGGAGCTAAGAGGCAACATACTTGGGAATGAGGAGAGGAACACACGGAAGGTCGGGGAGACACTGACGCCTCCCGCCCTTTCCGGGAGGTCTGTGTGGCCCCCCGCTGGGCCTGGAGGGTCTGGGGCTGGCGCTCTCCCCGGCACTGAGTGCGCAGAGCCCCTCTCACAGCCAGCGCGACCATCTGCGGAGGTGCGAGGAGACAAGGTTTGCTTTCTCTTCTCTCTGAGCGAGGGTGACCGTCTATGGCCAAGGATGGCCCATCGGACTCACGAAGCAAAGACGCTGCAGAGAGACGGAACCAGAGCCTCATCAGAAGGGAACAAAACGAAGCGCGCTGCAAGGCTGCTCAACGGGGAGGCTCGGATCCGCCCGCGCTCACAACCCGGGTCGCGGGACCCTCCCCCGGAGCCCCTGGCCCGCAGTGAGGCGCAGTGCCCACGGGAGACGGTCCTCTCGAGACGATGGGGCAGGGCTCCGGGGACTGGGTGCGAGGAGGACGGCCAAGAAAGAGAACCTCAGGCTGGTCGGGGCCAGCCTGGAAGACAGGGGTCTGCGGGTGACAGGGGCTGACGGAGAGGGTGGGACCAAGCGGAGGCCCTTGCACGAAAAGGCAAGAGCGAGGCGCCACCGAAAGAGAAGCAGCAGGACCACGCCGCAGCCCCGCCGCTACTCCACACCCGGTTCTCCGGTGCAAACGGCTTATCTGCGCCAGGTCTGCCCCAGAGGCTTCAAACTTTCGTCTCCAAAAGCCTACCGCCGCCCTCTGAACTACAACACCCAACATGCTCCACTCGCAGGACGAACGACCCAGCCCCTTCCGCCCCCGCTAGCCAATGGGCTTCGCCAATTTCCTCTGGCCCGGGAGAGAGGGCGCTTTCTGCCCCGTGAGCCGCTCGGTTTGATCCCCAGGCGTTCCAGAAGTGCGGTACTGAAAACGAGACCAAAGGCGTAGGGCCCAGAGCTAAAGGCAGAGTCTTCGTCGGCGTGGATTCCACTACGGAACATGGGCCGCTAGGGCGGACGGACAGTGCCACGCCACGATTTTCGGGTTCCCTCCCCGCTTCTTCCGGGGCGCGCCTTCGTCCTGTGGCACAGGCGCACTCCACCTCTTGGGGGCGGGTCTCGGACCCGCAGCACGCGCGCATTTCCCCACCTCTTGGGGCGGGCCTCGGACCTCCCGCACATGCGCACTTTGCACCTTCTGCAGGACTGTCCTCCGAGCTGAGAGGCACGTGCGCGCTTCCCTGCCTTCCCAGGGAAGCAAGTTGAGACACGACCCCTCTGCTTGTTCCCGGTGCTGTTCTGCAGGTATTGTATTGGGGGTAATGCTGTCCTTTTTTTAATTCATTTTTTTTCTTGTGTTGAACTTCAAGACGCAGCAATGAAATGTTCTTAAAAGAGCCCTAAAGCAGGGGTTGCAATCTGGCCTGTGTAACAGAGCAGCGGTGGGGTTGGCAGTCACCTGAAGGTCCGGCCCTGGGCCGGTGGTCTCTGAGGCTGGGAGGGAACGAGGCTCCGCCCGCCTTCTCGTGCTGGGGGTGCTATGGACCCAGGCCTGCCGTCCCCAGCCTCCAGGCCCCTGGGCCACAGGGCCCGAGAAGCGAGCAGGTGGCAGCGTCGGACGCCGTGGGTATGATCTGCACGCCGGACAGCGTTGCTGGGGCCGCTGGAAGGAGCGACCAGGAAAGAAAAGACAAGCTTCGTTGGCCCCTTCTTCTCTGCCTGCAACTCCTGATAATTCCCCTCCTACGTACCTTCCCATCTGACCACTTTTCTCCATCCCTACCGCCATTCACGCCATCTCTTGTTTAAGCGATTTCCCTGTGCCCGGTGTCCCTGTGGGATCATGCTAAAATGCAAATGCGAGCATTAAAACATGCCATAGGCTCCCTCACCCCAGCAATAAAGTACGCACACCTTAAGGCCGGGTGGCCTGGCCACCTCCTACAGCCGTGCTCTCCCACCTGTGTCCTAGTCATCCTTAAACACCAACAGGACCTTTAACCCACCAGGCTACGTTTTACCCCAACGGCTTTTTTCATATAGAAGCAATTTTATGAGCGTCCTGAGCTCTGCTGAACACCATCCTGACTCGGTTTCTACCAGAGTCTCCGACCAACGCTCTGCACTCCCTGCCTGGCTCTGACAGATTCTGCAGCTTTCTGCGCCCGTGGTTATCAGAAGTCCAGCCCACTTAATCCGCTTTAAAACTTCAGCCTCACACCAGGCCGTACACTCCTTCCTTCCCCCCAACCCTCCGCACAGGCTTCCGCTGTGGGACCTGTTTTGGGGGGAACTGGTGCACTCGGTGTCCTTCAGTAGGAGGCTCACTAATTTAAAGTACTTGCTGCGTGGGGAGCTGGAGGAAGCATTGGGGAAGGTGCGGGAGGAATGGCCAGGAGTGCTTTTACCTAACTGGGCATGTAATTACAATCCTCTGTCGGTTCTCTGCCTCTCGGGCTAAGGCTGACTGGTCATGGATACCTTCCACTTGGAAGGGGCCCAGATGCCAGCCGTTAAGGGCACAGAGGTTTGTTTTGTGGAAGCTCTCCCCCACTGCACAATCCCAGATGGGAAATCTGCTCCGGCTTAACTGCTTCCCACAAGCCCCCCCGGTCCTGCCCTTGGTGGTACAACGAGGCTGTGCCGGCTACCGGTTTTCTCGGGAGGAGAGCAGCGAGGTAGCCTGAGCCCCGCTGATGGCCACACCTGTTCACGTGACTTTCGGAAAACTCACAGCTCTGTCTGCACCAGCAGGAACTCGTTCTCGTTGTTTGACTAGAATAGAAGGGAAATTACAGCTCCTGTCGCTAGGCTGCAGCCTCTGGATGTGACATCCCTTCCTTCGTCTGTTCAACAAGCCACTATTAACTGACCTGGAAGGGATGAGGGGGATTTAATGCATGTCTGGCTGGGGCCCTTGGCGCAGTGAGGACGGGGTGATGGGTGATGGCGTCTTCCTGTGCTCAAACACCAGGCAGGGTTCTCAGGAGCTAGCGCCTCCTTCCTTCTGTTCTCCCTCCCTGCACCCCCTCAGTGGGGCAGAAAGGACAAATTGTCCCATGGGCCCGGGGGAAATTGCTGCTTAGCCTTCAGAGCTCTGAGATAAAATTGGATATTGCTCCCAGGATGCAATTCCAGACGTCCAGCCCTCCCATAACATACCCCTGCCCTGACTTGTCTGTTCTCTCCTTCAAAATGGGGGCAGGGGCACCTGGGTGGCTCGGTCAGTTAAGCATCCGACTCTTGATTTTGGCTCAGACCCTGAGCACACGGTTTGTGGGTTCAAGCCGTGCGTTGGGTTCCTCGCTGACAGTGTGGAGCCTGCTTGGGATTCTCTGTCTTCCTCTCCGTCTGTCTCATAATAAATATTTTTTTAATGTTTATTTATTTTTAAGAGACAGAAACACAGCACGAGCTGGGGAGGGACAGAGAGAGAAGGAGGCACAGGATCCAAAGCAGGCTCCAGGCTCCAAGCTGTCAGCACAGAGCCCAACGCGGGGCTCGAACTCGTGAGCCGCGAGATCATGACCTGAGCCGAAGCCGGACGCTTAACTGACTCAACCACCTAGGCACCCCTCTCATAATAAATATTTTTAAAAAATGAAATAAAATGGGGACAGCATTTTTGTCTGAAGAGCCAAGTTCCTGGGTTAACTAAAACATGAACTTACCCAGAACATCACATTCTACTGTTCATCCAACAAATATCTATTGAGCAATATTTATATGCTAGCTTTTTTTTGGGGTGGGGGAACTACAGTGAAGACAATTCCTGCTCTCAAGTGACTTACAGTCTGGGGCGGAGACGTGAAGAAACAGTTTGAGCACCAAATACTCTGACAGAGCACGCGCACGTGGCTTGGAGGAGATACAGGTCGGGATCCCAAGGAAAACAGCCCCGACTCAGCCTTAAGGTAGGAGCTGAGCATGCAGAGAGGCGGGAGGGGAGAGAGGCTTTCAAAAAAAAAAAAAAAAAGCAATGATGTGATTTAGTGGACTAGGAGAGGAGAGGCCAGAGTCCCAGGCCTTTACTTATTGGGCCAGTGACTGTGTGCCCTTGGTCACCTTCTCCTGCCTGAGCTTCCTGCTCTGTTAGGTGAAGGAAGTGGACAAATGATCGCAAGGTTCCTGTGTTCGCTTCCTGGGGCTGCTGTGACAACCACCAACGTGGTGATTGAAACCAACAGAAATTCGTTCTGTCACCAACTTGGAGGCTAGATGTCTGAAATGGAGTATTGTGCTCCCCCCGGAGGCTCTGGGGGCGAATCCATTCTGTGCTTTTTCCAGCGCTCGGTGGCTGTGGTTGTTCCTCAGCCCGTGGCCTCCTCTCTCTGCTCTGTCTTCACATCTCCTTTCCTCTGCATGTCTGTCTCTCCCAGAACTCCATCCTTCTCTCTCTCTCAACGCCACACGTGCGATTGTGTTTGGGACCCACTAGGATAACCTAGGAGGATCCCCTCTTCTCGAGATCCTTAATTACGTCTTCTGCGCATATGGTAACGTCCGCACTTTCCAGGGAATTGGCACAGGTATCCTGGGGGTGGGGGATCCATTCACAGGCCTTTACAAGTTCACAGAGACTGGGGAGAACCACCTTGAGAAAATCTGCACTGCCCTGCATTCTCCTCCCCACTTCCCTCCCTTTCACCCTAGCTCTTATTTAAAATAACCTACATTTGTATACAGTTTTATGGCTTAAAAGGTTATTATGCGTTTATAAGCTCATTTCAGCCCCATAAAAACCTATAAATTTTGCATTATCCCTATAATTCCATTGGCAAAGAGTAAATGGAGGTTCATAGAGATTACGTGACCTGACCAAGGTCACAAGTGCTGGAAAGAGTGAGCGCTGGGCTCCAACCCGAGTCTTTGGCCACAACTCCTGTGGCTCCTGCCGTCATCACCTGCCTGAATCTTGACAGGGCATCGAGAGGTTCCGAGACCGGGACTGGGAGATGCCCTTGGCGTACATTCAGCTCTCCCTGCTCCTCCTGCTGAGCACAGCTAAAAACACTGGGTGTTTTCTTTTCTTTTTTTTTTTTTAATTTTTTTTTTTTTAACGTTTATTTATTTTTGACACAGAGAGAGACAGAGCATGGACGGGGGAGGGTCAGAGAGAGAGGGAGACACAGAATCTGAAACAGGCTCCAGGCTCTGAGCCGTCAGCACAGAGCCCGACGTGGGGCTCGAACCCACAGACTGCGAGATCATGACCTGAGCCGAAGTCAGCCGCTTAACCGACTGAGCCACCCAGGCGCCCCAACACTGGGTGTTTTCTATAAAACCAGCGTCAGAAGACCCTGAAAGGTGGGAAGAAGAAGGCAGACTGGCTAGGGACCTTGGAGCCCGAGGAGGGACATGGCAGTGAGTTCCCTGGGTTTTCTTTTTGTTTCCTACATCCTGGACTGGGTGCTGGAAAAGCAACCCAGAAATGCCAATGGGCACAGACAAAATAAAGTTTCAAGAAAAGCCTGCTTGCTTTCTCTAGCTGGAAAAACAAAACTAGGAAAGAGGCAATCCAGCAAGACATAAAAGTTTTGGACAATAATTGCCCTACCCTAGCCAAATACCATGGAAAAAATCATGGTCCCACCTCCACCACATAAGCAAAGACCAAGTGGGGACCCCAGGCCCCCACCCTTGCCCAGCTGTAATGAGGTCCTCCTCCTCGTGTCCCACCCCAGGCTGCCAGGGTAGTGTCATAGAAGACACAGTGGGACCCAGAGTGTCATAGAAGACATCCCTGCCCAGATTAAGGAACTGCCCATCCAAGAGTTACAGGGTGCCCTTCCCTGTCCTGCCACAGTGTCAGAGGAGGCCAACTGGGGGGATCTAAAATCCCATACCCACCCAGCAGTGAGGACTTCCCTCTCTGTCTAACTGTGGCTTGACAAAGGAGGCCAAGTGGAGAACCCAGACCTTCGCCCCACCTGGCATTACTGGGGAGATGCCCCCACCCACAGCTGGCATGATGTCAGAGGAAACTTGCCGAAATAGAAGATGTAAATAAGATCCAGAGTCTCCTGACACCCAAATGTCCAGAATACGATCAAAATCATACATCATACCAAGAACCAGGAAAATCTCAAATTAAAGAAAAAGAAAAGAAGATAATAAGCAGATGCCAACAGCACGATGGTGCAGATATGGGAATTACCTGACAAGGATTTTAAGGAATCATAAAAATGCTTCAACAAAGAATTATGAATACACTTGAAACAAATACGAAGTAGAACATCTCAGTGAAGGGGTGCCTGGGTGGCTCAGTCGGTTAAGGGTTCAGCTCTTGGTTTCAGCTCAGGTCGTGATCTCACAGTTTGTGAGATTGAGCCCCACGTTGGGCTCTGTGTCTGGGCTCAAGCATGGAGCCCACTTGGGCTTCTCTCTCTCTCTCTCTCTCTCTCTCTCTCTCTCTCTGTGTCTGCCTCTCCACAACTAGGAAGTTGAGAGGACTCTCTCAAAATAAATAAACTTAAAAGAAAATCTCAGTGAAGAAATCAACGATATAAAGGAGAACCAAATAGAAATTCCAGAACTGCAAAATATAATTACCCAAGTAAAAAAACTCCAAGGAAGGGAGGACTCAACCTCACAATGGAGGGGGACAGAGGAAAGGATCCATGAACTTGAAGATGTAACAGTACAATTGAGCCAAGCTGAACAACAGGAAGTGGGGTAAAAAAAACAAACTTAGGTTTCTGAATCATCATGTCTTGCAGTTGAGGCAAAAAATACAACATTGCTGAATGTGATTTTCAACATATCCAGAGGAAACACTTAAGTTATACTGCAAATGGATAAGGGTGAAGGAACTGAGAGGGAGGTGGTACTTTTTCTACACTTGTCTCCAACTGGTAAGCAGTGGACACCACTAGGTCTTCATGATGACAGAGTAATTCTGTATCGTGATTTCAGTGGTGGTTATAAGACTCTGCATGGATGATAAAATGCCATAGAACTATATGCACACATTTGCCCCAATGTCTGTTCACTGGCTTTGATTTTGTGCTATGGTCGCACTCCGTTACATGGCTTCTCTCTCTACTCTCTTTGCAACTTCCTAAGTGTCTGAAATGATTTCAAAACGAAAAGGAAAAAGATAAGGGGATTGAAGGGACATCTTCACAAGCAATGGGGAACACTTTCCATTTTAGAGGCCAGGCATGAAGGGAGGCGTGCTCAGAGGACAGAGGTTTGCAGACTAGAACCTTCAGTTCAGACCCAGCCTCACCCTCAAGTGACATCACAAAGCCTCAGACGCCCCCGCCCACCACCCAGAAGTTTTATCAATTAAGCCATCAGCTCAGGACGGTATTTGCACTGGAAGCTGTTGTCCAACCTGGCCAAGCACACTTCTCCTCTCCCTGTTCAGTTATGTCCCAGAAAAAATGGCGCCATGCAAGCAACAGGGTCAACAGACGTGTGACTGCAGCTCCTCACCCACTCTGAGGATATAACAAAGAGCCGCCTGGTTCTCCTGGTGCATAGTCGTTGGGGGAGTCTGCTCATACCACCTAGCTCAGCCCACTAGGAGAACCCTATGTCTTCCTCACAACTCCCAGCCTTCCTGTGGGACAAGAGCACACTCACCACCGCCACATCTGACCCTGCTCGCCTAGTAAAGGTTCTCTTCTTCCTTGCACTCCTGATGACCCTCGTCACTCCACTCATCCTGGTCTGGAAGGTAACCAAAGACCGAGGCAACAAGAACAGAGAGCCAGACCCGAGAAAGGAAGATACTCTGCTGGCGTGAAGGTGGACGGTCGCTGCCAAGGCCTCCATTGAGGGGAAGACTGGAGGCTCAGGAGGCAGTGCCATCCTGGAGCCAGAACCCGAGGAGGAAGAGCTGCTTTGCGGGGGAGGTCCCCCGGGGAGGGGGGTCCCCCAGGGCCTCCCCCCTCCTCCACCACCACCCATGTAATTGACACCCATCTTGGTGTTCTCTGACTCATCCAGGCTGCCAGGTTTGAATGTCTTCTCTCTGTGGCTCTTCTAGACCGAAATTACAAATGGCTCTTGATTTCTGCGTTAACCGAGGAAAAAACAAACAAACACGTGGAGAATTAAAAATTGATTACAAAGCCCACATCTTCCTTTCTAAATTGGGCATGTGTTGACTCTGGGATATTGCAATTATTGGGAGCTCACAGCATCTCTGACTATATAATGAAGCTATACCAGAAGCTGGGTTCCAGAAGAGCCTTGAAATAGGACAGCTCACCTACTCCAAATTCTAGGTAAAATGCTCCCTCCTCTTCACCTAATTCTAAGAATAAAAAGTATTATTGCTCTCAAAAAATGACGGGAAGTACCAAATACTTTTCTTTCTTCTCCCCCATCCTCCAACTTTATGGGCTGACAAGCTTTAAAAATATCATTTTCTAAAATAATAATTTCATTTTTAAAAATCTTTTCTGGGTTTGGAATGAATTAACTCTCTTTTCAGATGAAATCCAAATTAAAGAGGCAGCATTTTGAAAATCCGTACTCTCACTCAGTTAGGCTTGGGTTACCCAAGGAGCATTTGACCATTTGCCTGGAAGGAATTAGTACTTTTTTTGGAGAGAAACCTCTACGTCCAACCCCACCGTTGACTTCCTCCTCGAAGCAGCCTGTCAGGTGTTCCCTTGTCTCCCTCCACATGCACTTGACTCTGGGGTCGAGAGCCAACAGCCCCTTCCTCAAAAGCCTTCCCCATTGCTTAAAATCATGGGACTATGTGTTCAGCCGTCTCAGAGCACACGCCCCCCGCCCCCCCCCCCCCCCAGGTGTCTGGGCTGCATACTCTGCATGTGTCAACCACAGGTCATCCATGCACTTCCGCTATAACCTGTAGAAATTAAGGAGCTCGGTCACTTGGTGCTGAGGAGAGGTCAGTATTGCTGCCAGACGCAAGGGGAACCCCCCCCCGGGGGGCAGGGAGTGTTCCCACCTGCTTCCTCGACTGTCTGATAGGTGGTGCTTGTCTTGTGGCTGACCGACTTTAGTGGAGACAGATCACAGCTGGCAGCAATGGGGCTGCAAGTCTCACGGCCAAGGAAGATGTATCCCTCTCTCCTCTGCAGCATGGGGCTCTTCCTCAGAGGCAGGCTAGCGTTCCTCTCCAGCTGGCTACCACGCCCCGTGTCCGTCCAGCACGCCAGCTTGGGAAGTACAGGGCGTGAGGGGGTGTTGCCTTGAGTGTGCATGGTTTCCACGCATCGTTCTGTCGAGAAGGAGCTCCACGAAGGCCTTTGTGCCTCCAAGTTGGCATCAGGGTCCTCAGCACCCCAACACTCTGCAGATGTGTCTCCCCTATCCTGAAAATGCCTGTACTTATCCACCAGATGTTTACTGAGCTCTCGCGAAGAATCAGGCTCGGTCCTGGGTGCTGGGGCTGTGAGAGGAAGGGCCCCCGTTTTCTCTCTCCTCGAGCCCGTCCAGCACCGTGAGAGATAGACGTCCATGAAATGAGCGCATGGGTGAATGCTTAATTATGTAACAGAAAAGTGCCCTGGAAGAGAATTGGGCTTTCTGGGGGCATGTATGGAGGCGTGTATAGAAGGAGCCTGGCCCGGGCTGGAGAAGGTGCGCCTGGGCACAGGAGCCTGGCTGAGGGGTGGAACAGGTGGAAATTCTGCACATAGGGGTGCAGGCAGGCGGCCCTGCGTTCCAGAGCGAGAGCAGCATGTGCAAAAGCCCATAACCAGAGGGGTCGTTGTGTCAATAGTATAGAAAGATGGGGCCTCGGGAGCACAAAAAGCAAGGGCCAGAATAGAAAACTGCGAGCTGGAGACACAGGTGTGAGGGAGCCCTCACAGCCAAGTGCGTCTATTACAGGCCACTCCCGGGGGCCCTAAATTACCCTCCTCCCCAAGCCACTCACGTACCCCAGGTCTGTTTTACTGACAAACCAGCCGGACTGCATTGCAAGCTTATGGCCACCCGATGGCAGCAAAGGGCCACACTAGGCACAGGGACCCTCCCTTCCCCGCTCAGAGCTGGATTGTCTTCCCTAAGGGACTGCCAACCACATTATCCACAATAATGGGAATCTCTTGTCCTCAAGATCTCCTGGCTGGCATTTTCATCATTTTTAAAACATACTGTGTAATAAGCATCAATTATATGCGGACTCTCAACATAACGGTATATCCGTTCTGCCTCCGTGAAGATGAGGCTCCGAATCCCAGAGAGGCTGCCACCTGCCCAAGTCTCACAGCAGAGCCAGATTATCGCCCCTCTCCCATGCTTCCCCGGAGCTCCTCGGGGAATAAGACAGCCTCTGCTTGGAGACAGCCCTCCTTCCCTATCAGAAGTTCCTGTCCTAAGGTGTCACCAGCACGAGTGTGTGTGGTTCTCTTGTGACTGGGGCGCCCGCGTCTTCCTCTGCCTCGCGCACCTTCAGAGCGGTCTCTGCTGCTCCAGGCCTGCAGGCACCAAGCCAGCAGGTACCGATCACCATAAAGCATCCAGAGGGTAATGGGGACCCGAGAGAGGAGGCAGTGAATGGGGAAGATGCTGCTCCCTCCTCCAGGGAGCTGCCAGCTCAGATGTGGCTGAGGACCTCCCTTGAAGCCGTGACAACCCTGGGTGATTTCAGAGAAAGGCCAAGCATGGGTGCTAATGGAATGCTGTAGGCATTCTGAACCCTGAGGGCCCTCTGTGGGCTGGATCAATCAGGGAGGGCTTTCTGAAGCAGGTGACACATTAGGATACCAGACAGGGTTTAGGAATCAGAAGGAAGCACGTGACACGCATGACAAAGGGACAAGAGACCGTGAGCCAGCCACACGATACATGTAGGGGACAGTGGGAAGTCAGGTTGAGAAGAGAGTATCAGCAGTGGTACAGGTCTTGAATGCCAGACTAGGGTGTTCGGTTTCAACCGAGGGACCAAGGAAGGTTCTCCAGGATGGGAGTGACAGGGAAGTCAGCAGTCCGAATCACCTGGCCTACTCGAGGCACAGGCGAGAGGAGCAAGGAGAGATTGCGTAAAAGGCTAGTTGAAATGTCCGCGGAACACTGAACTCTCCAGGTCCCGGTCCTTCTCTGCTTCTGAAAGCAGGTCACAGCAATGGGGACCTTCGTCCCGGCCCCGCCCCGGGCCCCCAGCCCGCCTCGGACCTGCCCCCGGCACTCTTCCCGCCCCAGGACCCAGTCCCGCCCCCGGCACTGCCTCCATCACCCCAGCCCTCGGCCCCGCCCCTGACACTGCCTCCACCCCTGCCCCCCCCTCCGCCCCGCCTGCCTCGGCCCCGCCCCTGGACCGGCCCCACCCCCGGCACGGCCTCCGCCCCCCACCCTCGGCCCCGCCCCTGGACCGGCCCCGCCCCGGCCCTGAGGGCTGGAGGCTGAGTGCGGGCTGAGCCCGGTGGTACCACTGGTTCGGGTGGGAGGGGCACCTCTTCTCCTGGAAAGGTGTAGGACTCAGAGCTGTCTTCCCCAGAGGAGGTGGAGCAGAAGGAGGCCCCGCTGGTCTCTCTCCGCTCCTGTAGCTGTCAGTCCTGGCCCAGTGACACGCAGACACCCCTGTGCGGGCCGCGGTCCCGAACGCAGAGCTGCCCAGAGCTGGGTCGGGAGCGGCAGAACCAGACGGCCTTGGGCCGTGGAGAAGTCCACCCACATGTTAACAGAGAAGCCCCTGATGCCCAGAGGGGCCACCCGGGGCGCCAACCTAGCTCCACCAGCTCTCACCCACTGGGCAGCCAGGGGCACCTTAGTTAAGCCAGTGACTCTCAAAGTACCGCCCTGGGGTTCCTGGGGGCTCCCCAAGGCCCTTTCGGGGCGTCCACGAGGCTGAAACTACCTCCATACAAACATTACGATGTTACTTTCCTTTTACTTTATTTTGAAAGTAATCTCTACTGTCAACGTGGGGCTCGAACTCATGACCCCGAGACCAGGAGCCGCACCCTCCACTGAGGGAACCAGCCAGGCGCCCCTTATTCTCTCCTTTCTCACTACCATCCTCTCATGAGCGCCCAGGGGAGTGTTTGAGCGGCGGTGTGACCTGAGTCCAGGAGGCCAAGTGTTGAAGAGATTTACAAAACTTGTACCATTCTTCCCTCAGCGTGCTTTTTGTGTTAGCATGTAATAAGTTTATTATTGTTATTTTTTATTTTTTTGAAAGCTTTACATTTATTTAGAGAGAGAGAGACAGAGCACAAGCAGGGGAGAAGCAGAGAAAGAGGGAGACACAGAATCCGAAACACGCTCCAGGCTCTGAGCTGTTAGCACAGAGCCCGACGCGGGGCTCGAACCCACAAACTGTGAGGCCATGACCTGAGCCGAAGTCAGAGGCTTAACCGACTGAGCCATCCAGGGGCCCCAATTATTATTTTTATATGCATTGGTAAGTATTTTTTTTTTTGATTGCCATTTGTAATACAGCAGGTGTGGATACAGAGAACCCCTGTCAGCAAAAGCTCCTTGGGGTTCCGCCTCAATTTGTAAGAGTGTAAAGGGATCATGAAACGACAAGGTTTAAGAACCGCTGATTTAAACCATGCCTCCGTTTCCTCCTCTGCAAAATGGGCATGACGCATCTGGCGGGGTGGTCTGACACCTCAAGTAGGACGTAGAAGGCCTGCTCCAAGCACCGGTGGTTACTTAGCAACTGCGTTAGGAACAGGCGTTGGGTTTCTCGAGCCGGTGCCCTCTCCAGTATCCCCGCAGGGCTGCCCTTGGCTGGCTGGGGGCTTGGAGAGCCAGGGGCTGGGGGGCTGGAGATGAAGCTTTGTGGGGTGGGAAGGTGCTGAGCTGCGGCCAGCCAAGTCGGCCAGCACAAAGTCCCTCTCTGTGCCCGGGGCGGGCCCTTCGGGCAAGGTCACCGTGCGACGAATGACAATCCTACTAGATTGGAGTGCTGAGCGTCAGACGCCTGCTGGGGACACAGGTGAGACCCTCAGGGGTCTGTGCGCCTGTAGCTCACATCTCTCACCACCTGAGGGCAGCATCACCTCGGGGCCCCGGCAGAGAGGGCTCAGGACACAAAATGAGCTCTTGGAGCTTCTCTGGACCGAGAAGTCACTTCAGCGTCTCCCTGAAGCCACTGCTTTAGGAGCTGTGACATTTCCCAGCCACGAGTAAGTAAGGGCAGCCGACTCAGCAACAAGGACGATAAGTCGAGGATAAGGGAAACACCTGTGAAGAGTTCCAGCCAGTTTTCTTGCACGTAACAAGGAGTTCAATGTTACATTACCGCCCGTCTCCACAGATCTTGTGGATTTAAAGCTCCGTCCAAACAAGACGGCTCCAGAGGACAACCAGACACACGTGACCCGGGAAACCCTGTGTTTTCCTGTTAATGATAACAAACAG